TGAAATTTTGATTCGAGCCACAAACCGAAAATCATAAGAAAAACAGGGCAGCTGCTATGATAATTTATATAACGGGACAACTTGTTTTAAAGAGATGACAAATACAGGTGCGTATTTAATTAATTAGGCATGCAATTTTTCACAATCACGATTAGTATGGTTCAGTCTAAAATTGAAAGATTTGTACGTGTTACGATTTTGACATCAAAGCAAATAATTCAGACGTATTGATAGGGAAGGATACATAACTACAGTAAGTGAAGATCCTGCTACCAAAACATGTAAAGGACACCTCATTGTGGAATGCATCCACGTCTATTAAACAACACTTCAGTACACTCATTTATTTTTTTCAGCATGCATGCGTACCTGCAAAGCGGTGACGTGAACCCCTGGATATATACACAACTACATTTATGTTTAATGGAAATGCAATTACCACCGAATACGTAATCACTTAACGGTTAAATATTTCAATCTTGATTTGAAGTTTTCGTGACTGCAGGAATCCATACTCTTTGGTTCTTTCGTTAGTCACGCCGTGAGCTATTAATTTTCTATCTACGTGACTTTACCGGTTAAATATTTGCTATTTAATTATACTCAATTCTGTAGTTTAATCTGAGTCACCATCGCCATGAATCCGAAGTGCAAAGTTGAGGAGTGTTTCTGACGATTCGACATGGCGTAATTATTTGCAAAATTAATGTTAAGTAAGAACAAATGGAATACTAACATAATATGGGGTGTCCAAGGCAATCGTTTCACCTAATTCCAAACAACTTGTCATTAGAGTTGCTTTTGAACAAACTGACATCAAATTGTTCAGTGTTTTCACTGGCTAGGAAGAGCTTCTTGCATTTATCGGTGTTGACAAGGACATCTCGAATTACTTTTAACATAGTGAGCAAAATAGCTATACGCCATATCCTACTGCACGTATAATTAGAAACATGCGTTTAGATTCATTATTTGGCTCATATACATTTCCACGTAAGCCACTTTGTTGAGCGATGTTGCCAGGTCGCTTCTGAAAAAGAATTAATAGCTAAGTGGGCTTCGCCTGGTAAAATAAAAAGTGTTGTTTATGTATAGTTATTTGCTTACCTTTCCTATACTTTGCACTCCTATCGTTGTTTTGTATTGTTTGTTGTAACTTTCTGACCCCCCCCCCTACTGGACATCTGTGAAAAAGAGCTTCATAGCTCATCGGACGTCTCTTGGCTAAATAAATATTCTGATGTAGGCTCGTGTGCAGTGTTGGAGTCGGAGGGTTTTTGTTATTGTTTTTTCATTATATATTTAAGGTAGTCTTTCCAGCTTACACCAGAATCCATATTACTTGAGTCTAGCTTAGAGGTTTTACTGCAATTAAATTTGTACCCAGCCTATGGAGGCCACTGAATACATGGCTTGTTGTTGGCACTGGGTCTGCCGATTATTTCGGTCATAAACGTGCTCCTGGCTTGCTGTCCATGAAGTTTCACTTCTTTCCAATGCCTCTGCCGCTCAAACCCTTGATTCTTTATTTTCTTGGCCTTCCTTTTCAATAATTACCCTCAATTATAGTGGTCCAGAGCTTGTGCTGGAAGTCGATTATATATTCGTCTCTTAAATTTTTCTGCAATGTTCTTTACAAGTGTTGATATAATCGTTTCCGATCTATTCCTGCCAAGTCGTTTCTACAGGAATGTCATCTCCATCACTACCTACCTCGGTTCATCAGATATACTCTGTGGTCATGTTTCTAATCCAAATAAGATAGCGGAGGAAAGCTTCAACCTATCTTAACTCTATCAGCATGGTTCAGCTTCAAGAAGTTGGGTAAATACGATTGTTTGACATGTGGGAGACAGAGGGCGTACCCGGAGGCGACTCAAGTATCCATGTGCCCATCAACACTGCAATCTCCCTATACCTACAACACCTGAAAAGCTCCGATGGTCACCGATCCAAGTATGAACCAAGCTCAACTCTGCTAACTTCTACAAAGATCCAAGGATATCCGGTACATCTATGGTGATTGTCAAAAGCATATATAATCTGCCAAATTAGCGCGGTTGGCTATGTAAGGTGTGAACGAAATTCAACATACAAGTGTAAATGTGAGTGCATTGACATCTATAGAAATCATCTGCACCATTTAAAGACAATTATTAATCGACTTTATTAAACTACTTGGCAATGCAACAGTTACAATACCCCAGGTCATGCGTGTGAAAATGCTGTATCTACCAACATTTCATCGTTGCCACATTGCAAGACAAAAAAACATTCCGGTCATAGCAGCTTTAAAATAATTAACCAAATCACCCAGACTATTCCGCATCCAATCATATCTTGGAAGCTGAGCATGATTGAGCCTGGATAGTGCAGTACTTGGATGAGTGACCACCACTCAACACTGTTGGCCACAGGGCTGATGCTTCAGTGAGGGAAAAAAGTATTTGATCCCCTGCTGATTTTGTACGTTTGCCCACTGACAAAAGAAATGATCAGTCTATAATTTTAATGGTAGGTTTATTTGAACAGTGAGAGACAGAATAACAACAAAAAATCCAGAAAAACGCATCTCAAAAATGTTAGAAATTGATTGGCATTTTAATGAGGGAATTATTTATTTGACCCCTCTGCAAAACATGACTTAGTACTTGGTGGCAAAACCCTTATGGGCAATCAGAGGTCAGACGTTTCTTGTAGTTGGCCACCAGGTTTGCACATATCTCAGGAGGGATTTTGTCCCACTCCTCTGCAGATCTTCTCCAAGTCATTAAGGTTTCGAGGCTGACATTTGGCAACTCGAACCTTCAGCTCCCTCCACAGATTTTCTATAGGATTAAGGTCTGGAGGCTGGCTCGGCCACTCCAGGACCTTAATGTGCTTAAACTAGATTTGGTGCTTTCGTGACTGCAGGAATTAATCTTTGTTTTTTTTTCGGTAAAGTCACGTAGAAATAAGAAACAATAAAATTACATAATATACGACGTTTCGATTGCAACACAAGCAATCATCATCAGGTAGAGGAAACACATAACCGCAGATATATATAGACCTTAAGTAGAGAGAATTAACACAGATATACCAGGGGATAGAGAGAAACGGAGCACACTAAATCAAACAGGGTTTAGCAAAATTTGGAAACTGTATAAAGCAACACAGACGGTCGGTTAAAACACAATTAACACATGGTCTTGTTGAATACGCTATTTCAAAGATTGTTAAATTGTAAGTTAAGTGTGAAATTTAAGATAGTGGTGGAATACATACCGTAGAGAGACCTATGGGGGGAGACACGCACACAGTTAAGAGGTGCAGCAGCTCTGTGCCGAGGCTTTAAATAGCTAGAGATGGGGGGGCTGGGAATCAGAGACAATTGTACACAAATTAGCATGATATAAGTTGTCAGGCGCACCGAGAGGGCACCGTAGCGCACACTTAGAGGCACCCAGGTACAAAACTATAGGTGGAGACAACACAGCGACATAAACCCAATTCAAGACACAAAGGCAGATACAACAGCAGAGAACACAAAGTGTGCTTCTTCTTGAGCCACTCCTTTGTTGCCTTGGCCGTGTTTTGGGTCATTGTCATGCTGGAATACCAATCCACGAGCCATTTTCAATGCCCTGGTTGAGGGAAGGAGGTTCTCACCCAAGATCTGACGGTACATGGCCCCGTCCATCGTCCCTTTGATGCGGTGAAGTTGTCCTGTCTCCTTAGCAGAAAAACACCCCCAAAGCATGTTTCCACCTCCATGTTTGACAGTGGGGATGGTGTTCTTGGGGTCATAGGCAGCATTCCTCCTCCTCCAAACACGGCGAGTTGAGTTGATGCCAAAGAGCTACATTTTGGTCTCATCTGACCACAACACTTTCACCCAGTTGTCCTCCGAATCATTCAGATGTTCATTGGCAAACTTCAGACGGGCATGTATATGTGCTTTCTTGAGCAGGGGGACCTTGCGGGCGCTGCAGGATTTCAGTCCTTCACGGCGTAGTGTTACCAATTGTTTTCTTGGTGACTATGGTCCCAGCTGCCTTGAGATCATTGAGAAGATCCTCCCGTGTAGTTCTGGGCTGATTCCTCACCGTTCTCATGATCATTGCAACTCCACGAGGTGAGATCTTGCATGGAGCCCCAGGCCGAGGGAGACTGACAGTTATTTTCTGTTTCTTCCATTTGCGAATAATCGCACCAACTGTTGTCGCCTTCTCACCAAGCTGCTTGTCAATGGTCGTGTAGCCCATTCCAGCCTTGTATAGGTCTACAATCTTGTCCCTGACATCCTTGGAGAGCTCTTTGGTCTTGGCCATGGTGGAGAGTTTGGAATCTGATTGATTGCTTCTGTGGACAGATGCCTTTTATACAGGTAACAAGCTGAGAGGAGCACTCCCTTTAAGAGTGTGCTCCTAATCTCAGCTCGTTACCTGTATAAAAGACACCTGGGAGCCAGAAATCTCTGATTGAGAGGGGGTAAAATACTTATTTCCCTCATTAAAATGCAAATCAATTTATAACATTTTTGACATGCGTTTTTCTGGATTTTTTTGTTTTTCTGTCTCTCACTGTTCAAATAAACCTACCATTAAAATTATAGACTGATCATTTCTTTGTCAGTGGGCAAACATACAAAATCAGCAGGGGATCAAATACCTTTTTTCCCTCACTATGGTGGGTGGGCAGGACAGCAGCAAAATCCACTCCGGTATTGTAACGCGCTTCTCAGTCTATGCTCTCCGTTTTCACCGTCGCATTGACCAGCATGAAGTATGGTTAAATATCCCCATGACCCATAAAATAAGGGCAAAAAACCTGCCATTTATATATAAATTAAAGGTTAACCCTACCTACAACGCCTAACAAGGTAGGTCCAACACATTTTAACCATGCACGATTAATCCCGTAAAATTGCAACTTAATTTTATTTCCAATGTATTGCGTCTGCAGAGTACTGTAATGTATTCAGACTTATTTAAAACAAATAAAGAACACACACGGGGTGGGTGTTTGATATTTATTTTAGCTACTGCAAGAGGTATAAACACAAACATCATGAAACTATTAACCTACAAACAACACCAGTATATATTTTGAAAAAAAAAACCCCCAGAAACAAGAGTTTAAATAATCAACTATCATAAAAGTACTGCCCAGTGTGACCATGAGCATCAGTCTGAATACCTAATGGAGCAGTATTAAAAGGAAAAGCAAAACATGTAATCTGCACTGCATTCAGCCAGCCCAGTATTTATTTCCTTTCTCTCAGGAATGTCTGCTGTTGGTATCGAGTCATGCTCAGCAAGTACTGTAGCTTAGTCCTGTAAGACACAGGGAAACATCAAAAGCTAACGTTACTAGACCCTGCATGCATACCATACCAAATCCTAAACCAATATTTCTCTCAAATGAACGTTGAAATAAAATGCCAAATCCATTTTCACTTGATTCAAAAGTAAAAATTTAGCACGCACAATTTTATTCAAATGCATACAATTCTAAACAATTCAATAATAAGCATGACTAAAGTAAAAATCCGTTGTTTTGTGGAATTAATAAGGTATGATTTTCATGATAACCTATTATATATGGTGTTGAGAGAAATGAAAGTACATGAACTCGCAATCATGAACATAATGGGTTTTAGTTTGACTTCTGCTCAAACGCAAATAAACTGGTGTCATGGTATAGTGGGAGTAAAGGACATTGCACAAAATACCTTGTTATAAGTCGACTATTTATAAACCAAAGTGCAGAAAATATTACTAACATTGCATTAAGGAGTGTGTGGCTACATAAATAACGTGCCCATATTGGCAGCATCACAAGGTGCCCAATGTAGTCGCAATGTTTTACTGGGCTGCCTTTTAATGAGGCACCAGCACGCTGGCCACCGTGCAACTTTAACGACAGACTGGAGTTGGGAGCTGGCTGCAAACGCGTTGCGGTGAAACGGGGAGCAGACAGTCACCTGATAACTGAGAGCCCCCCGTAATGATAGAAAACCTATGACAGACTGCCAAGAGGTGATTGCTTATTGACGTCTGTGGAAGAAGTGAGTGCAGGAGAAATAGGCGAGAATAGTTAGGGAAATGTACAATGAGATCAAGACAATTGCTGGGGGACACAGGGTGGAACCATTGGACGTTTAAGAGTTGGGGGTTACATCATTGATCAGCATATTCAATTCATTGCATGTGTGGCAGCTTTTGTTTGCTGCTTTTTGGCAATGACAGATTTTAAAATGGGAGGTGCAAGCCAGGTTTGGTGAGATCGCAGGAAAGTATGCCGAGGAGATTAAAAAGCCAATGCCCTGAGCACACGTTGTGGATAGGAGAGGGATGGTCAGCCAGCAGGTCGGTAGTTTTTAGGTATTTAGGTACAGTAATGAGGAAATGTGTTAGTTGGGAGGTAAGGGCAAGAGTAAAGGGAGACCAACGGTGAGATGGAAGGATGCGATGGAACGAGGCCTAAGGACAGTGGGGATGTGACAAAGGGAAACACTCAATAACGATACAGGAAAAGATAAAATCAGAGCAGTCGATCTCATGCATTCAAATGGGACTTGCGATTTAGAAGAAGTAATGACAGATGATTTTCGCGGGACAACGGGTGATGTCATGATTATGCTGGCGTGGAGACGACTGTGCTTGGGCAGTATGCGCTCCACAAGTCTAAGGCCAAGTATGTCAATGGTGCCGCTCCCATTCGTTACTGCCATGGTCTATCACGACCAGGCCACCGCCGCACATTTATTCGATGCGACTGCCACCTTCAGTGAATCTTCATTAAATGGTTACTACTATATTTACAGGCAAATGAGATTTAGGATATCAGACATCTAACCACCCAGTGTACAAATAAGAAATCTAAGCTCTTATTGAATAGCGAACAAATTATGATTTTAATTAGTAATGACCTAAAGTGAAGGAAATTTACTTTAAATAAATGACCAATAATCCCAATTATCTTAATTTCTTAGCACAAATGAGGGAACATGTTTTTTTATAAACAGAAGCGATACTTACAAAACTCCTAAATGAAGGTGTTTCGTATAGCTCACATTCCCACATTAATGAAAACACGATGAAAACATTGAAGATAAAAGCAGAGTAGGACGCTGATAATCTAGAGCAGCCGGGGACCAAGCAGCTCGGATTAGCGATTTGTTTGCACCAGAGATGTCGATGATGCAGTGTTCACAGACTAAGCATAGCATGACTCAATGTTGAATCAGCATATTGTGCCTATGAAATTCAGAACATTTGGGATTGGGCATTGCAACTGATCAGAAACAAAACAAAGATATTTGTGAAGTAGGACGTACCGACATTCAGTGTCGGACCAGTAAGAGTTATGCTTTTTCGCTTCCTGTAAAACATTCCTAAACATTCCTAAACACTCTGGACACATGAAGAAATCTATACCGAATAGTGAGAATATGGTTGTCAGGCAGTGCTCTACCACTTTGCATGAGTACTCTCAAAGTTCTGATTTCGAATCGATCGTACGTTTTAACATTGCCCAAACCTTAAACTTACAATTTTCAGACCATCGGTGTTGAAACTATCAAAGTTTTATACCGAGTATAAATCCTGCATGTGGTTAATAAGCTATTGTTTAAAATAACTTTTAAACGAAGGTGCAACACCTTAAACATCCCTTCCCACGGCGTCACGTGGGCTCTGGAATGCAATGGAAGACTATGCGTAGGTTCCATCCGACAGCAGGGGCTCGTAGGCACGCTCATTCTCATCGTGCTTTCTTCGGCAGGCGATCACACACGCCGCCACCAGTCCCATCACCTGCAACATTGCCAAGCGCAAGAATATTATTGCCAGGCTTCAGTACACAGCAACAGAAATACAACTGCCAATATATGCAGTTACCAATTATGTAGGACAATAAAATGACTGGGAAAGTTTCAATCGTTGCCTTGTGTAAAAGTGCTGGCACCCAATGTTTTGTGCATTCTAATGCTGACGTAATGAGATCATACAGCTAATGAAATAAGCACATTACGAATGAACCACGTTTCCACTTATATGCCACATGATCAGCAAGGTATTTTGGTAAATTTGTGGCAAGCACTTTGTGTGTAATGAGCACGACCGTGTCATTTTTATAAGCATAACACAGAAATGCAGTTATGCAATTTTAAAAAGGGTTCACTGTACCTGCAAGAATGCAAATCCAACAGCCACTCCAATCAAGTACGTGAGAATCTGTTGTACTTCGTCTCCCAGCTTTAGCAGACAACCCTTAGGGGGAAGAAAATGGTATATGTTGGAATCCATAAGATGAGGATGATGCAACATTCCCTGCTGGCTTTGCAGAATTGATGCAACATTCCCTGCTGGCTTTGCAGAATTGATGCATGTCACATCCTGCTTATGTTTAATCCCAAAAATATGTACAAATTCTATTATTGTTTCAAACCCAAAATATTTCACTTTTCAGGCGTGAAAATATTAACCCTTTGCTAGTCTATTTTAAGATTAAAATGACTCCGGCAATGAATTGTCTTACTCCCGTAATCATGCGCATCATGTTCAATAGCAATGATAAAAACACACTAAAATTAAAATATAAATGGGGACACAATAAAGTGGATTGACAAAAGGATTAACAGATACCGAGAATGGTTGTCTTGTAGCTAGTAACGATCTCAGTTAATCAACTGCTGTTGGTCATGGGTATTTAAATTATTGTACTTCACCCAACTGGTCTGTGCAGGATGTTGGGGGTCGTGGAGTGGGATTGCATGGAGGATTGAGGAAGTGTTCAAATACCACTGACGTTTACAGTGGCTGAAAATCAAACTCAAGTCACCAGGCATAGTGCACTTAACCGAGTCCTAAACCAACACTATCATATCAATCTAGATTTGAAGTTTTCGTGATTGCAGGGATCCATACTCTTTGGTTCTTTCGGTAAAGGTCCCGTTTGTGTTGCGCCCGAAACGTCGCGATTTATTTTATACCTACGTGACTTTACCGAAAGAACCAAAGAGTACTATCATATCAATATGTTGATTCGAGCAATTCAATTAAAAAGGGGTTAATTTCAATATCGATTCCCGTGTACCCTTAAGGGCACTAATACATTCCATTACTGTCTAGTTGCAGAGTAGGCACAAGCAAAAATAACTTGTTACATTCGCCCACGCCGTCATATTTGTATTCAATGGCGTAAAAACCTCGTGTTGTTTAAAGTCTTTGCCACTGTTGGCTCAACCAGAAATACCTGTTGGTACAGCTTGGCGGGCAGGCTCAGTAATCCGGTGCAGTTCTTGGCAGAGCGCTTACAGCAGCTTAAAGGAACACTGTTGTACTTGTGGCGGCGTGCCCACTCAGTGGTGTTCCAGTCAGAGTAGTTCGCAAATCCGCAGCACTGCAGCTGCACAGATAAAATCAACAGGACGGTTTTCAGCGTGTCGCACGAAGAGCGTTTAACCCATTAAGAGACAAACAGATGAAACGATCCTTCCTATTTTAGGTATAACAGAGATGATCTAAGCAAACAGTGAAACATTTTAAATAAGTTTTACTTAAGGACTTTTCTTTCCATCTTTCTACGGCGTGCTGATGACGTTTTGACCCACAAATATATGCATCACTTATATAAAACACTTTTTAGATACATAAGCACTAATCAACAGGAGCAAAAATTAAGATTTCTATGCACTGCCTTTTCATATATTTGAGTTTTTCCACATTTAAGTCGACACGCAGAAGTTATAGCAAATTCATCATCTGCTGTTATCCTCAGATTAAAAACACTGATAGAGTAATTTTCAAGGATAGCACACCCCACATTTTCACGTAAAAAATAAATTTCAGTGCACGTGAAGCCTTGAAAATACACATCACACGAGCTACAGCTGGTGCAAGAAATTTTGAGCAACGTTTACCTCTTTCTGCATGTAGTCCACAGCACGGCTTTCAGGGTCATAATCTGGCCCCATGTAGTTTTGGAAAGCTTTGTGCATCTTCTGTTGCACCTCAACCTCAACCTAAAAGTCAAATGCATAGATGGGAGTATGTGTATTAAAGCAACTACCAAACACACGCATACATTTAAATAAGGTTGTATTCCTCTTTGTATTCAATGACAAACTTTATAACGAAGACGAACTAAATTTTAGTCGGCATATATATAACAAATAAGGACGATGGTACAATTGACAGCATACAAGAACATTTATCTGGGAAATACTTGCCAAATGACTGATTTTAATATAATCACGTAACATGTGACAGCCGATCAAACCGCTTTAGAATGGGACCATCCCACCAACTGTACGTGTTAAGTTCCACTGATTTTTGACAGTTAATTGATTAAATCTCACTGAAGTTATGAATGACTGTATATTGAAAAAAAGAACATGTCAAAGCATGTATTTGCTATAGCATTCCAAAAACCTCACTTTCTCCTGATATAAATTAACATTTCTTAAACGAACTTCGTTGACACCGTACGTAGCCAACCGTGCAATGAACCACAAAAAAAGTCCAATTAACAAATTACCAGTTACAAAGTCGACTATATTACGGTCAAAACCAGCATTTACACAATGCAATTCTTTCACATTTGAAGCCACAATGAAATGTGACATGTCGCAAGGATACAAATGTGATGTATAAATAGAACCAAATTAATCAGTGCATGTAAATGATCTGAAAATAGGTCACAGGGAGTGCATGTGCTGTTCGGCGTTGTGGTAAGGTGGTGGTGCAGTTCTCACTTTGCCATGGTAAATATAGCCAAGCGCCACTGCAGCCACTTCCAGAGAGAAGATGATGAGGAGCAGCAGGGCGAACTGTTGACAGCAGCGGACCATGGGGAGGGGAGAAACGTCAACCCACGTGAGCATTTTCAACGTGTCAGTGTAGCAACAGTATTATTGCACGTCTTATAGGAAGAATAAAAACAAATCCCCACAGAAAAGGATATTTTCAGCTTTTAAATTTGTTTAGATGTAACACATGAATTACATTACTTGTGTGAAAAGAGGTAGGATGGTAAAAGCCTTGGCAAGAGTTAACTCGAGTGAAAATAAGATGCAGTACACAAATGGTCTCAGCAGCCTCATCGCCAAGTTATCTTTTGCCACCACTCATACCAATTTATTTCACAACGTCTTAGCACAGGATTTCCCAAACTCTATTTCCTCGTGACCCGCAAGGTCTTTTCAAGCTTTTTAAATTATCTCTAAAATAAAAATTGTGATTAAACGCTCAACGCACCCGATGCTTGCTTAACACGTCCCACGTGCCATAGAGCATGCAAATTATATTTAGCATTCTCTACAACGTCATGTGGGTGACAAACACACAAGATCTCCATCTTAAATTTAATCAATGCTCACCACTTAAGCAGTATTGAGCAATCATCATGCATGTGCAGCGACATAATTCAAATGGAGGTACCATTGTTGAACTCATAAATACCATAGCATGGTTGGTGCTGGCAAGGAATGGAGTTTGGGAAACCCTGCCTTACATTAGCAACCTGTAAGCAACAGATCACATGCTGGGCTGTCGCTCCAAACCACTGCTACGCTAGCTTAGGTGACAGTATATACAGCATCACGTTACACAGCTCGTGTACAGGGGGGGGGGGCATCATCTCGCCTGCCGGCGTTGCGCAGCTTACGGAAGCGAGGGCGCAGCGACTCTCCCTGACAGCAGCCCAGCAGCCGATGACGCCGATAAGGAGCAGCACAGCTCCGGCCACGATAATGGCGAGCGCCGGCAGGATGGTGTAGCGATCCTCGAAGAAGTGGTCGTAGCGGTCATAGGTGATGAACACGTAGGCGCCAGCGTAGCAGAACACAGCTGCCGCCGCCTGCATCGCACACGCAGCAGCAAAACGTTTGGGGAAAAATATTTTTTTGCTTATTTGGGAGTCACGGTGGAGTAGCACTGACGGTGTCGCATAATGGATAGGTGATAACAATATTGGTCGCGAACGCCTACGTGTTAAACTGATAACGATAAGATGACGCATGGTCTCATGTAGATTTGTAAGCTCACAACACATGCATCTAATTGCTTGCGTACGAATTGATGTTTTTCCGATTCAGAGGCGACCTCTGCCTTGCAAGTCCAGCGTGCTAACCATTACTTCACAGCAGCTTTACTCTACGTTGTATGTAATGTTCTTACAAACCCTTAAGCGACTTCGGAGGCCGCTACGTTCACCGCTGTTAAAAAATAATTGTTCTTGAATAGAACCACAATCGTGAATAGAAACGACTGAATCACAAGGGAGGTGAAATGTTATACATGTAGTCCTCGGCTTACGAACACACGCACTTATGAACCCCGCTTCCACGAAATATTTTTAACATTGACTTCCAAATGCAAACTCGCACTTGTGAACCGAACCGCGGAACTATTTTGTTCAGTGGCGCGATCCTCCGCGATATGTAATACACATTACAGTAACCTGTTAACAGGTTTTCCCCCTTTTTTCTGGCAACAAAACAGGTGTTAAGTTGTTAAAACACCAAACTGAAACCTTTTACAAGGACTCATGTCTGCATTAACCACAATGCTTGTGGTCAGAATGCAAACAAAAAACACTCTGATAATATATGCATTGTCCTTGCAACCGATTGGTCCACACCAGAGAGCCTCGTCTCAAGCGGTGCGAGACCAGAGGACGCCAAAAGGCGTACAGCACAAAGACAATGCACTATCAGAGTAATGAGAGCTCGGGGTCAGCATCTACATCATGAAAAAATCGCCTTGTGTTTTAAAAATAACATGTGCCCAATCTTCCCTGAACACTGATATTTAAAATACCAGGCTTGCAAAACACATGATTGTTTCTCAATGCTCTGAGGAAATATGCTCAAATTGTTAAAGCTGCTCCTGCTGTACATGGCCACGGGGACCATGAGTAATATTCCGAAATTTTAATTGGCAGGTTCGGTACCCGAGCATACCATGCTATGCCACAGTTTCAAACTCATAATCTCACATTAGCTTGTAAATGTGATTTAAGAATGAAAGCAATGAATAACTGTTTTACTGGAGACAAAAAAGCTAAATTAATAACGTATTGAACACGTAATCTGTTCAAAGGTCCACATTTAAATTTCACCACGTGTTTAAAAAACATTTAAATGTAAATAATTAATTACACATATGGACAAACACCGCTTATATATTTTTTTTAATACAGTCATTTATGGAACTGTCTTCTCCAAACTGTTGTTTGAGGGCAATGACCACCAGGGTATACACTAATCCCACGTAATGAAATAGCGAGGTATTCGCTGACAAGCGGTGAAGTAGATAAATACCTTCCCCAGCTACTGTATAATTAATTCGAGTAATGCATGGAATTACAGACCACCTCGATCCAGTTTCATTGTAACCAAGCCTCATTACCTGAAGCTTTCCTGCCCAGTGATGATGGGAAAAACTGGTTTAAGTATACCAGCTTTACAGACATACATATTAACTTGGGATTAGTTATTTTACTATATGGTTATATTGCGATATCAGTGTGAACCTCACAGCAAAGTGCACGTTAAATCAACATATCACAAAACGTTGCACAACGGTGTTTGCTTTAAAGTCATAAATGTTTATGTAGAAATGTATAGGGGTTTCTTCTATTCAGCAAAGATGTCCTGATAGAGCAGGTCTAAACCGAAGTGCTTGTGTTACCTTGCTGCCCCCCTGCTTTCCATATAAATGAGATGTTTCCATTCACACACAGGCCATGTATCATCAAATGATATGTGAAGCAGACAATGAAGGGGTAGACACGCATTGAATTGATAAAAGGGAGGGGGGAGGGCGGTGCAGGGTTTGAACTTAACAATTCTAGTACCTAAAGGAATACTAATAGGCAAATGATCAAAGCTCACCTCTACACACACTTTGGGTTGTAATTGAAAATACGTACGCGTACAGCCCTTTACAATCCACTGCGGGATAAGGGACTCCCGCATGCCATGTAGTGGATTCTTTGACCATACTTCACCAAGCTGGTTAGTGTAGTTGGTTAAAGTGGGCAACAGATGTGGGGAGCATAAAAGTGCAGTACAGCAATGAAGGTTGATGCACCGCACTCTGCTGCTTACTTTGCAGCCCCCAAAAGCAGCGGTGGTGACATGTGAACTCCCTCGCCTGGTATGCAGGAGGTTGTGTTTTCAATCCCGACCCTGACGCCTGGATATTTTATAGTTTGCGGTGTCTCTCTCGCGCTCCTTGTGGATTTTCTCCGGGTTTCCCCTCCACATTTAGAAACGTGCGTTTCGAGTATTCGGCTGCCATAAATCTTCACGCGATAAGCCACTTCGTTGCGCTATCATTTGTGGCAAGGCCAATTCTGAAAAAGAGATGTATTTGTAGCCGAGTGGACCTTACCTGGTAAATAAAAAAATAGTTGATATAACAACCTGTTTGCCATAAATGTTTATGCTATGCGGGGCGAGCTCATCGACTAAAAGGGTGCAGAAATTTTTACCCGATACCCTTGCTTGTTGTGCGGGCTCCATCGTCAGGGACACCACCGGGAAGCCCATTCCCACCCTCGCGCAGTGCAGTATATTTAATCCCAGCCTCTATCCCTCCCTCCGCTAAAGACCACCACTTGTCAACTACACTTGCAATCTGGATGAGGGCCTCCCCACACAATGCATTTGATCATACTTCACCATACCCCTCAGAATATTTCTTTATACTCTAGGAAACCGATGAGCCATAAAGCTTTTTTTTTATCTCACAGATGTCCAGTAGTGGCAGGTCAGAAACGTCACAACAATACAGAAACTTGATAGGAGTTTAAAGTATACGAACGGTAAATACACTTAAAATATATATACGGATGTGTTGAAAGAGGGCAGCATAGAGGTGGGAGTAAGTACAGTACAATGGATTTTGGTGCACTGTGCTCTGCTGCCCACAACGTAATCCGAAGCAGACTATATAACAACTATTTAGTTTATCTTCAGAGTTCTGACAAAATTGGGCACATTCCAAGCGATTTGGTCATTGTAAGCTCACGGAATATGTACAGTAATCGTAAATGTGATGGCAATAACTGCATAGCATTACACAGTATACTGCATCGAGAAGCTATATACATTATATAAAAATTGTATTGTACTCTGAAAAGCCAAAGCCGTCTATTGACAAGCCTTCAAGGTCACGGTTGATAAATTACATTCAGCAGCATTCAATAAAAATCAGCATCTGTAGGGTACACTGTACTATACACGCTTAAAATATTTGCCAATTATGTGCATTCGTAGAATTTTGTTTCCAAAATGAATTGCAAAACACTACGGATAGGTTTGTCAAAGCATTTTTATGGATTTCGCATTGACATGCAGACAGGGGTCTTCAACGCCATCCATATGCAAAGCCCCTCTATAATGAAAGCACGTTTAAGATGTAAATGGAGAGGAGGAAGCTCCAACAACAGGGGGGTGAAATCGAAATGAAGAACGTCGGATATTGCAAAATGGCATCGCCAATCCGTAGGTAAGGAGAGTGGGAGACCCCACGGGTTACAGAAACGTAAAGGCAACGCCGATCATCTTAAGCGGCAACAACAGGACACACTGCATCCGTTCTAAATCACCACACTTGCCCTGATTACGCATGGCCAAAGCTGCTACCTTCCTATTCACGTGGGTGATGTCCTGTGGACATATAAAAAATGTCCCCTACTACCCACGCCACAAGGCAAGTCCACACAAACAAGGCTGATTTGCTGGCTTTCTAAATCATGGGGTGCTGCGTGTGTGGTGGTGGTGGGGGGGGGTTACGGATACAAGCTGTGAAAACGTAAAGGCACAAGAATCATGATCTTAACGGTAGCAACAACAGAACATCGGTGTTCGAAACCCCTACCCCCCTCAAACTCATTCCACACAAGGCTGACAAAGCTGATGCTTGCTGGGTTTCCTCTCTGTTCACACAATAGCAGCAGCGACTGGCTTCTCACAAATCCCGAGAAGTGGGTTAAAGGTCATTGAAACGCCTCGACTGCCGCTGCGGTGGTCGGTGCTGGTTGGGGCCAAATCGGCAACGGTCTCGTTGAAATAAAAAAAACAATCTGCAGTCTCTTATTTTCTTATACAAGTTGGTCGGCGTGATTATGGGGCTTATAGCCCACGTTTAACCTTCGTTTGGCGATTAAAGGTTGAACCCGCTGCACAGCGTGCACGTTCAACTCACCCTGTACTGTATTAGAGGGAAAAAAAGCGAAACGAAATTAAAATAAACTTAGGCGTCACCGTGGGGAGTGCAATTTAAAACTTTTGCTGCGCGCCAACATTTGTGAGCAAATGAACAGCAAATTCCTCATTGAATTGAGCACCTGTGTGGCACTGCCGTTTGTTTTGGGTTTAAACTTTCAGTCTTCATTCGGCAAACATCTTGAATTCCTCATCAACTCGAAGGTACGAGAGAAATCCGGGGCTAGCCGTGGGTTGCGTGTTTGGCGTTTCGTGAATGGTGCAAACGACTTTGAAAAAATAAGTCGGGCCCGGCTTTCCTTGGTTTTACCTCGACGTGACTGCCGCTAAACTGTGGATTTTATAATTATCGTACGATACCAAATAAACGTTAAGGTCAGCAATGTTCACATCCTAGGGAAAGTACAACAAATACCTTTTAAATTAAGTCAATAAACCAGCTTTACAACAGCTAAAACCATATTTGCTAATAAAATAAGGGGTGCGTTTGTTTAAACCGCTGCAATTTGTAAACAGTTTCAATTCCACGGCTTTACTTGGAAAGATTTTGGTATAAAAAAAATTACTGGTTTAAACATTATTTACATTGTCCGATGGAATAACAAAAACCTGTCTTTCGAGCTTCGGCTCGACAACATCACAGCCCCCGTTTGCATTAAACAAATCTGTAAAGTTTACTGGGACCGATTGAACGAATTCGACTTAAATTGTAATGAAATATAATCCCTCTAAAAGGGCTCGCGACGAGTAACCATCCAAGGAGGTTTAACAGCGAACGGAAGTCTTTAAAAAAAACAAACACACACACACAACGCGTCGAGAGCCAACGCAGACGTCTGCTTGCACACTCACTACTCTGTATCCACAGTAAAAAGGCTAAGAATTACAATAGCCAAACACAAAACAATAATACAATTAGGCTTTGCAGCTCGTTGTCAATACACAACAGCTGTCCCAGACGTAACATTTCTCTCATCGCCACGGACAAGGCGTGGAGGGGGGGGGGGCAACCCTTCCACGTAACGTCGCTCGAAATGTATTTTCTTTTCGACTTCACATCGCCGCCCATTTTTTAAGTTGTATTGTTTCCCAAACCCTCGCCCCCCCCCCCCTTTCAATGCAGTATTATTGAGCAATGTGCGTTGAGTTTGCGGTAATGTATAGCGCTGAGCGGCGGGGGGCCGTCGTTTTTGTTTCGTCGCTCGTCGTTAATCGCGAGTCCCCCCCCCACTCCCCGGGTCCCCCCCTCCCCCATCCTCCTGCGCTCTCAGTGCGTTGCGCAGCGAAATGCTGCTGCGCAATCGCCCTTGAGCGGCACTAGCGGGTGGGGTGCCCCGAGGGGGGGGACGCGGGGTGTCGCGGGCGGGTTTCGAGTCTCTCCACTCACCCAGAATACGAAGCTCAGGAAGACCAGCACGGTCTTGGACGACAAGATTCCGCAGCTCGCCATGGTTCGAGCCGGCGAGGTTGCGGCAGGGACGGAAGAAGACGAGAAGAAGGCGACGGTGGGAGGCGCGGGAAGGCTGAAAAGGCGGCTGCGTGAAGCGGCGGCGTTCTTTACAGCGACTCGGAGACACGACGGACACTGCCCCCGGCGCGCACTGCGCATGCGTGAAAAACGCCCCGCCCCTTCCCCCATTCGCCCCACCCCCCACTCACCCCGCGATGACGTCACGAAGAGGCGCAACGTGCCTATGAGTAACGCGTGGTTGGCAGGACACACGCTACTCCTGTTATCCGCGGTGGTAACTTCGCTTATCCGCAAATCCTCTCACCCGTGCCTCCGCTCATCTGCGGGATAACGCCTCTTATCCGCAATTCCTCTTGTTATTCACGGGATAATGTATCCGCTGGATAACTCCCTTCAGCTGCGACCCCTATAGCCATGGAATAACGCCTCTAAATCCACGACTCATCTTATCTGCGGGATAACTCTTATCTGTGACTCCTATTACCCGCAACTCTTATTATCAAAGTGATCAATTGTTAACCACCCAATTGTCTGTGACTCCTCTTATCCGCAGGAGCTGAAGGGTCCGTGCAAACTAATTTTCTGAGAGCTCCCAACGCTGAACAAGGGCAAAGCTCCCAGTTTCTGTAAACCGTCGTCTTTCCCATGGATAAGTGAAGTCAAATGGTCGATAGCCCCGTGTATAATTGCTTCCGCGATATTGGTTCTCATTCTACGTGACTTTACCGAAAAAACCAAAGAATAAAAATAAAACACAATGGACAAGTTGAGTTTCAAAAACACGCGTTAAACGAAATATCGTAAATCGGAATGGCTTTTCCCATGAATGTAAGGGGCCGTCCATAAATGACGTCAAGCACCTGGGGGGGGGTGGGGTCAGACATTTGTGACTGTGTGACGAGGAGGGGGGGTTGAGAAATGTGACGTCACATCACAATGCGCAACTTTAAATAAATATAGACAACACGTTGTACTTAATTAAATAGACTTTTTAATAAATGTATTCTCCTACAACAGAGTGCAGCGCCACATTAAATACGCACTACAATGACAATAGTTTAAAGCGATTTGAAGCATGTTTTATAAAAAAAAAATTGGGGGGGGGGGGGGCAGAGCTTTGTGACGTCATATTTGAGGGGGGGTCTGACTTTTTGTGACGCCGTGTGACGACGGGGGGGGGGGGTCAAGAATCGTCCAAAATCGCGTGACGTCATTTATGGACGGCCCCTAATACAAAAACTGAGGGATGCATTTCGGACAGCGATTTCAACTCTATAAACATCCATATCACTTTTCACAATATAAAATTGATAACGAACATAAACATGGAAACGATTGAATAAACATCTATTTCAAACGAAAATAATATTCTCAGGGAACTCGCCAAACGAACTGCTCCTTGTTTGACGTGAATGTGTGTCGTGAGAAATTTCGTTATTGCGGAAATTCGATATTGCTAGTCGACAAGTGTCCATCGATATAAATAAAATCTTAAATCTGTACGTCTCACAAACCTCTAGCGTACTTCCCAACAAGGTAGAAAGTTTAAATGTTTTACATTGTTAGTTTTAGGACACAACAGAAACAATCTGAAAAATCCGAGATATTTCGTTTTAAGACCCCCAAATCTCGATTTTATGTTAAAAGTGACAACCATTGTTCTATATTTTATTGTTTTAAATATATTTCGGATTAAAGCGGGTTTGAACGAAAATTACGCATTTTATTACGTTAAAATCTGAATAATTAGAAAAGGGTAAAAGATAGGAGTTTCCCCTGAAGATTATTAAGTTCATAAATGTTTATTATTTCTAATTAAAAAAAGAATGGAATCTTTAAATGTATCAGTTTCCAATGGATATGTCTTTAAATATAAGAAGTTGAATCAAGTCGTCAACAATTTTAGTTTTGTAGAAAAATACACACTTTTTGAGTAGTTGGGCGTGTCTGATCGGAGATACAGATTGTAAAAAATCATATCAGGTTCATAATTATATTTATTGAAAACTTTTGCCTGGCAAAGACAGGCTTTACGAACTAGTAACGTTTAAAGTGCTTTAACGTGAAATTTCGTAAACCGCATTTTTGTTAATCTTGGGATACCGGTCTTAAGTGTTTGCTTGAACAAGTGAGAGTGAAAATAGGGCTTTAAACATCTAGTTGACAGGGAAAATACGCGAATATAAAAAAAAAATTAACAGCTTGACAACGATTTACACCAGTACTGTATTCCTATGAATAGGCTCGCTCCCAGCCATAGTCATACAGAATTCCCACATTTGGCTCAGGGCTCTAAACAGGAGATCCTTCAATGATCATTTGAGAAAGAAAGTGCTAACGTTAATAAAAATGCCAATGTCATTGTTACATTACCATTTTTTAAATTAAGTGAGGTTTTCTTTTTTACTAATACAAATGCATATGCATGGTTTCTGTAATACTTTCCAACATTCATTTGTCCTCAGAAGTATATTTAGAAATGTATCCTTTATTTAGTTTGTATTGTAACTTGCTGACCCGCCCCTATTGCACGTCTGTTAAAGAGAGCTGCAAAGCCCATATGATTCCTCCAGGGTAAATAAGATTCTTATCAGGAAGTGGCAAAGTTAATTATTCACGTGTTTACGTTATTCTCATGCAGCCGGTCCGCCCTGTCACGTCTCCTCCCGTCGTGGGGATAACAAAAGATTTTCTGCGTTGTGTTCTGCCCTCTGGAGAAGTGGGCGACTCGACAACAGCTGAAACTGCAAACTTTATTTCAAAAGTCCTCTTCAAAAGGGCAATTGCGTGTCTGCAATAGCGACCAGAGATACCCCCCACGTCACAACACCGCGGCGGAATTACTCGGTCCCGAAAATAGCCCAAATGTAAATTTGGGGAATTCCTCGGTCCTGAAAAAAAATCCCAAATATAAATGTGTGGCGTGCCTCTTACTCTACTGTGCATGTCGGGGGCAACCTTTGATCACCGTTGCCTGATCTTAAATAAGAACAGAACGCACCTGGCTCTCCATAGCTGCGCAAAATGGTTTATTCGGTTCTCATATGCTGCAGAGTGCACAATTATACGTGTGATTAATCACGCGTGAGCTCGCACCGACTACATTTACTGTGATATTTAAGTACAAACATGGTATTTAACAAGTCATCGGAACAAAACATAAGCAAGGTGAGGTGGATGCTTGAAGTTACACTTTGAAGCAGAAAGGGGGATGCTTAGGTCAGGCAACAAACACAAATGGAAGACGTTATTGGTCTTCATCCAGCAGTGGATAGCACATGGCTGATTGTGAGTCAATTGGGTTTACTCTGATCTCGCCCAAATAACCTTGCCTGGGATGGTGCAGGGAACCAGACAGGAAAACCAGGTCTACATCAGGCCTGGGGCACTTCGGTTTTAACTGCATTTACGTTTAAATGTATAGACGAATAAATGAGACGACGTCAATATTTGCGTTTGTTTGACTTGTTACACGGATGATCCCGTTTAGCCAGTTTCCCAGCTATTTTACAAGGGAGATCCAGTGGTGTGTGAGCACAGCACATCAACAAATACAAAATACGAACATTAATATTGCAGAGAGCAAGTACACGGTCCTGAAGGAGTATTGCACAACTTACAGACGGTATTTAACAATAGTAAACAAAGGACAGGCAAATCTAAAAAAAAACACAACAAATATGAGCGCAAGGGGAGCGCGTAAAAAAGTTAGGTGCCATGTGCAAGTTAATTCTGTATTTTGGTCTCATCTTTAAAAGCCCGCCGTTCCATTTGTCCGTCATCTAAATTATAAAAGCCTTTCAGAAGACCTGAATCAAAAAGTTATATAAAGTGGACACCCCCCCACACCCCCAGATGTGGGGGTAACAAGTTTATCCAACAGGTTTACAATTGTCCACACCCCCAAAAAATTCACTCTCCCCCACCCCCCCGAAAAAAGAAATTACTCTTATAAGCATATTTGTCTACACACCCTACATACAATAGTCAGTAGTATGCACACATTTGGGGGGGGGGGGGGAAGAGAACATCAGTGGGGGCGCCGGGCGAGGCGTGATGGGAGGGAACGTCACTCCACATCGAAGAGCCCCCCTCATTAATAATCATTATAAGGTGACGTCATCCAAATGGACAGCCCCCCCCCCCATTCATAACAATTAGCGGCTGACGTCACTCCACATGGGGGGGGGGGGGGCGAGGAGGCGTCATCAAGAAACATAGGCTGCAAAGTGGAAACAACTTATTCCCGAACCTTCTACGAATTTAATCTTGCTACAGGAAGGAGTTCGAGAGGAACTAAGTGTCCTTAAAAAGTCATTGGCAGATTTGTTCAAGGGGACTTCTACGGTGAAGACAGCCCAGTGATGATCTCTCTGGATATACAGGGGTGGGGCAGATTTAGTTTATTTCCAGGTTGCCATGATTAGTTTTATAGAGGTGTCAAGGGAAAACGGAGATCAGAATGGAATCATGGAATAAGACATTCCATGATATATTTGGAAGCTAGGTGGTAGATGGTGTCACAATAATCAAATAATGACAGGATGGTAGAAATGTACCATATTCAGGTGGAGTTAAGGTAGAATACAACGTTTGTTTCTGTACAGAAATCCAATTTAGTGTTTTTTATCTTAATGGCCATGGGATTAATATGGGTCTTGAAAGAAAATTTCGAGTCCAGGTTAATGCATAGATATTTTTAATTGTCGATCTGCTCAATAAGGTGTGAGTTCAGAGCAGCTATGTGCATAGGTGACGAGACAGGTTTGGAGCAGTCTGAGAATAACATTGCTTTGGCCTTTTAGCATTGAGGACCAGGTTTAGGGCATTCCATTGAAGATGATCAAAGTCCTGTTTTCGACGCTGTTGTAACTCAGCCATGGAATTTTCGCACACCATCAGGGCTCTATCATAAGCATAAAGATGAATAATGTCAGAGTGCAGATTAGAGATGCCAATATTGTTGACGTACAGAGTAAACAGGATCGGGTCAAGCACAGAGCCCTTGGGAACTCCCTTAGTAATGGGGGTACTTTCAGATGATATTTTATTGATGGAGACACCATAAAAATGGTCAGAATAGTTGTAAATTCAGCTAACTGTACAATCCGAAAATAAAATGCATTTTAGCCTTTACAACATT